CCAAGGAGCTCTGTTCTTCGAATACATTGCACTGCTAAAATGGAATCACTTCGTGTTTCGGGCCCACATATTATAGCTCACCTGCAGAGGCACTGTAAACACGATTTAGTGCTGTGTGTGCCCTTTTCAGGTGAAAGTTGTGAACGAGGAGCTCTACCGAAAGGTCTTTGAGGAAATCGTGCGCTCCCTGGATAAGGTGGAGAACGCCAACATTCCCTCGGTGACCCTCTCCCAAAGAGAGGTAGGGTCTGTTCATCTGCTGTGAGTTGCTGGACAAATCAAGCATTCCCAGACCCTAGATGTGTTTTCTCATGCTAGCAGTTTGTTAGATGGATGTTGGACCATGTGGTCTGGTTCCAGTCAAGTACAGGCTACCGAGCTGAAACGTACAGCCACGTTACGAGATGGAGAATAAAAGGGTAGTTTCAAGTAACAGCAAGTTCTTGGAAACATAAAATGTGAAATTCTGAGGGATTTGGAGAAGGTCACAAGACCAGCATTTGCTTTGTGTGTTGGGGACTATAAAAGATAAGTAACCGAGAGGCTTACAGATACCTTGTTCTCAAATTCCTCTGGGGTTATTTGAGGGTTTTAAAGGGCACGCTGCTGCAGTGTGTAAAGAAGTGTAATCCTTTTTAATCCTGGAAGAGGCGGGATGTGGGAGCAAGAGGGTTAATCTGGGTATCTTGCTGCTTAATGATTAAACTATGGGGCAGCAATGGGAGGAATTGCTGCTGGTGCTTGGCGTGGGGGGATTGGCTGATGATGTTGGCTGATGATGTTGGCTGACGTTTGTTTCTAGTTCCACTTTGTGGATGTCAAATACATGCAGCTGCAGGTAGAGAAGTTTACAGTCCGCAATGGACCAGTGCCCTGCCAGTTTGAATTTATCAGCAAACCAGATGAGGTTACCTACTGCAAGGAGTGGCTGATGGCTAATCCTAGTCAAGGCTTCCTGCTGCCAGGTGAGTTCCTCACTGTTCATTTCATGTAATGAGCTAATTATTGTAACGTGTTGGCTTTGTTCTTTTTGCTATTTTGAGAGTGCTGTGCTTGTTTACCAGTTTCTTGGTTTAATGCCTTTTTTAAAACTCAGTATTGTTTTCTTCTGTCAGGTTCTGAGATCACAATTGAGTTGGAACTGTTTGTTAATAAATCAACAGCTACACACTTAAACTCTGGAGAAGAAAAACTTGAAGACATTTTGGTCTTGCATCTCGACAGGGGGAAGGATTATTTTCTGTCTGTAACAGGAAACTACTTGCCCAGTTGCTTTGGGTCTCCCATTCATACGCTGTGTTACATGAGGGAACCGATCCAAGACATGTCTGCAGAATCCATTCGGAATCTTGTGAGTTAAAGATAAGCTTCCCTTCTGAACAGACACCATTAAAACTAGGTGATTGTCTTATTTGTTGCCACAGAGCCTTCTTTCGCTCCCCTGGTCCATAGTCTGAAAATGCTGATACATCTCCACACCTTGTTTTAATGCTTTGTTTGGGTACAGCACTGACAGTAATATGCCATTTGCTCTGCTTGCACGTTGAAAAAAGGTGTGTGCGAAGTGTGATTGAGAGCATCTGTTTTTGTTTGTGCTTATGATACAATTGTGCCTGACACAGCAGTCTGTGAAAGCTGGTGAGTGCAGCTGCACAGTTTAACAAGTCCTAGTTCTCAGCTGTAAACTCTGTGAAGCAATTTGCAGAGTTGAACTAGCTCACTTTGTTCCCTCTTTATTTTTTCCTCCTTACCTCTCTCTCTCAGACCCTGATGCCACTGGAAATGAGTGATAATGCTACTCAAGCTGAAAAGCCTCTGGAAATTCCCAAAGAGCTGTGGATGATGGTGGATCACTTATACCGCAACGCTTCCCAGCAGGTTGGCAGTGCTTGTGCTGGAGCTGCAGAATAATTTGTTGGCATTTGGTTAAGGTTTGGGGAAGGTGGCAACCATTGCTAAGTGTGGATGTTTGGCTAATGGTAAAGAGTGAAAATGAATATCTTTGAGATAAGAGATTCTATTACCCTGAGTTGCAGGGTTTGTGAAGGCGATGCAGTCTGTGTGTGGCATACACCAGCAGCTCCCCCTTTGCTTTGCTCTTTACTGCGGTCTCATAGCCTTCCTAAAACTGCTCATGGTGAGGTTTGTGCTGATGGCTACCAACCTAGGGATGTTTTTCCTGCCGTTTCATAATTTTGGCTTAATTTACTCAAATAACTTCTGTTTCCCCTTGAGACTGATCAATGATGGCCTTTGCAGGAGGACCTATTTCAGCAACCAGGCCTCAGGTCTGAATTTGAGCAGATCCGAGACTGTTTGGACAAAGGAATGCATGATACCCTCCGTATCCTTTCAGGCTGATGTCTGATTGGGCTCACTATGCCCCAAGCAAAAGATCAAAGCTGACAAAGGTTTGATCAGTCTCCTGTGCTCCGTCACAGTTTTTAAACTGCTCTCTGTCATCTCATGGTAACTGAGATGTGCTGCTCTTTGCAATCAGTCCTAATGCCTCTGCTGAGTCCTTGTTGTATTGATGCACGATTGTTGATTAACTACATCAGTATCTAATTGCCAATGGAAACAGTTTGCTATGTGGGGCCAAGCAATTTGACTCAAAGCTGTGAACAGCAGTTCTCGGAGACCTTAGCAAAGATCAGTGTTTCAGCAGACATGCTGCCAAAATAGACCACGCTGTGCTTACCTCTTCCTTAACCACCTTTGGACCAGTTGGCAGCAACCACTCGGTAGCAGAGGCGCTGCTGCTCTTCTTGGAAAGCCTGCCAGAGCCAGTCATCTGCTACAGGTACTACAGCAGCTGTTTGGAGTGTGCCAACAACTACCTGCTGAGCAGCCAGGTAATGCCAGCTTCAATGGGGGACCACTTCTGGAAGGGGGTAGACTGGTTTACTCTGGACAAATTACAGCATTTTGCTATGAGAAATGTAATCTTATCATGAAAGAAATGATCCAGAACTTGGGTTATTAAGAGCTGTTCCCATATACAGACAGTGTGATGTTGGTAGTAGACAAAGCTGCCAAGTTATTGTTGTTTCTTCAATATATGTTGTTTTTTTTTCTCCACCCAGATTATCTCTAACCTGCCAGAGTGCCATAAAAATGTGTTTGAATATCTAATGGCATTTCTACGAGAACTACTGAAAAATTCAGGGAAGAACAATTTGGATGTGAATATTCTAGGTAAGGCAAGCAAAATAACCACTCTGTTCAGAGGGGTTTTTCAGTTAGTAGGACATATTTCTCCAAAGCAATTGCAGTCATGGTCTCCATAGAAAAATGGATTTTGCATCCTTGCAGTAGCCAGAAAAAAAGTTTTATGGTGTCACAGAGAGGTCAGTGTGTCATCAGCTTTATCTAACCCCTCCTGAAACCAGGCTCTCTCTCATTACAACTAATTGAGATTGGTGGAATTACCCTTAATAGCTTGCTGTTGACTGGTGCTCTCTTTTCTCTCTCTCCCTTTTAAAAATGCAGCTAGTATATTTGGTGGCCTGTTACTTAGACCTCCTCCTGGACATCCTATGCCTGATATAACGGAAAAGAGGAAAGCTCAGCAATTTATCCATCAATTCCTCCTGAAAGAGAACAATTTATCGTGACTTTCAGATGCAGCTAATCTGACTTTTAGATATGAAACTACTGTAAAGAAAAAAATGTACAGTATATCAGTTTTGTTTTTTTTTTTAAATCACAGTATTTTATACAATCTTTTGCTATTAAATGCAGCTCAGGCATTTAGAATCAGGTGTCACTGTTAATAAGCTGTAAAGTACATTGAATTTCTAAATAAGCTGTACGTAGACAAGCAAAAATATAAAAGCTGATATTTACTCTTGTATTTAACTTGTATTAAAGCACAGAATTTTTAAGTCCTTATTATTTAAATAAAAACATCTCAGTGCATTTTCCAGCTTTGGGCTCTTGGTTTTAAGTGTGCTTTAAGTCCCACCTGTTACAGGCACGGAGCAGCTCTACCCACTGTAGGATACGAGCATTTCCATGCCTTCCCCAGCACGCTGTAACCCTATGGAAGCGTGCAGCACCACAAAGCAGCACTGCAATCAAGGACAAGACCCTGGGCTACAGAAAGATGGGTAGTTTTAAATCCAGCTGCTGGCTGATGGCCCAGCGTTGAGCAGCACCACGGGCTTCTGCCTCATGGGGGTGGGCCTGGGTGGTGGTTCAGGGCTATTCAACATTCCTCATCTCTTCATAAAGATGCAGCAGTACTCAGCGTGCAGTGGTGGAGCAGTTTGTTATCTGGTGTCTGATGATCAGGGGCCTGGAGCACCTCCCCTACGAAGACAGGCAGAGGGAGCTGAGCTTGTTCAGCCTGGAGAAAAGGCGGCTATGAGGAGACCTCATTGCAGCCTTTGGTTCCTGAATGGAGCCTACAAACAGGAAGGAATCAACTCTTTGAAAGGGAAGATAACAGCAGGACAAGGGAAATAGTTTGAAGTTGAGGGAGGGGAGACTTAGGTTGGATGTCAGGGGGAAGTTCTTTACAAAGAGAGTGGTGAGGTGCTGGAACAGCTGCCCAGAGAGGCTGTGATGCCCCGTCCATCCCTGGAGGTGTTCAAGGCCGGGTTGATGGGGTCCTGGGCAGCCTGGGCTGGTATTGAATGGGAGGTTGGTGGCCCTGAGATCCATGATCCTTGAGGTCCCTTCCAACCCGGGCCATTCTGTGATTCTGTGATGTGGCCTTGGGGGATCCTGAGGGTCAGTTTGGACAACGAAGCTCTGAGGAAAACCTCATTTTAGCTCTACTTCCGACTTTGTCTAGGGAGGAAACCACACAAACGGGTACACAGCTGCAATTTGTTCCCTACTGTGCGACTGATTTAAGGCTATGAGTTTATTTAAGCAGGAGCTGGGCTCCGTGTCCGCTCTTCCCTGCCGCTCCTCATCGCCCCACACCCCGCTTCCCTAACATCGCCGCCGGGCCCAGCGCTGCTCACTGCGCATGCGCACCCCCGCTCCCATCATCGCCCGCGGCGGGCGCGACCCTCCAGTCGTAATCACGATGTCGCTGGGGTGGGAAGAGAGGTGCTGCTGCTGCTACCGCTACCAGCAGCTCGGTGAGCGCGGTCGGAGCGAGACGGGGCGGCCCCTGGGGGTTGTGTGCGGGGTTGTGGTGGGCTCTGGCGGCGGGTGGTAGTGGAGCCGGACGGACTGAGGCATCGCTAAGCTAGGGGATAGGAGGAAAGGCCTGCTTGGGCCCGTAGGGTGCGGGCTGCGGCGCGGTGCCGACGCCTGGGAGTGCTGCGGGGCCTTTGAGCTCCGGGAGGGGTTGTGCGGAGAACGGGGGTGTGACCGCACCTGAAACGAGGCTCGAACGGGCCGGCCAGTTGTTCAAGAAACGTTTCTTGGGGTTTTGACTCCAGAAATGGCTGTAATCTCCTATACAATGTGCCTTGAAGGGGAAGGGAGAAGCTGCTGTAACATTTCTATAGTCAGTGATTATCTCTGACCTGCTGGGCAGGCTCCTCACTGCTGGTTGCAAACAGGTCTTTGTTTTTGTTTGGGATAGGGAACCACAACTTGTTAAGCACATGGATGCTATTTCCTTCACCAAGGGGGAACTTTGTGTTTTTCAGGGCGCATAGTCAACAACATGTCCACAACAGCCACCAACGACGCCTCGGTGGCTGCCACCAAAGCTTCCATGGCCACAAAGCCGAGCTCAGTGAACATCTATAACCAGGGATTGGTGGCCAACAAGCAGATCTCATCGTATGACACCAGTTCCTCAATGGCTCTCTGCAGCTTCACCTTAGGGAACACCGCCATCACTGAGATGCCCGCCATCACCTACGTGAACCTTACAGAACAAACCCGGGTAAGGAGAGGGAAGGGGAATGCTGGCCATGCAGAAGCTCTGCTGTGCTATGACCCCTGGCACGTCCTCCCCCCAGCTCAGCTGTCAGAGCTTCCAGTGCTTCAGGGAGAGGTGCTACCAGGATGAAGCCCACAGGAACACAATGGGGTGGTGCTGGGGCACCCAAGTGATGGGCTGGAAGGAGCTTTATCTCTGCCCAGCCTCACTGAGAGGAAGGAAAAGGAGGTTTGAAACTTGTGGTGGCGTTGCAGTGAGGTTTCGTGCAGTGGCAGATGGGAGCTGTCTCTTATCTCTGAGTGTGAAATGCCGGAGACAGATGATGGCAAATGCTGAGATGTAGTGGAGGTTTGGGAGGGCACTGTGGAAGGAAGGGCTGCCCAAGGTGCAGATCTGGCGTTGGGCATCCTGCTGCCTGCACCGCACCTGCACAGGTCTCCTCTGGTCTTGTCTTGCAGGAGAAAATCTGCACAGCGTTCTGCCGTGAGTATAGATACTTCAAAGGCAAGAAGAGCACGACTAGATGCCGTGTTGGGTATGATTACTGTGAGGTATGGCTGGGACAGGACAGGGCGGATGTGCTGCAATCTGTGTGCATCCCCTCAATGCAAATGCCAGAGGCTGAGCAGGACCAGCAGATGAATCTCTCTTCTCCTTCCAGATGAAGAAGATGGGCTTCAATTACTTGGCAGAATGCAGAAAAGACTGCATTGCTGCCGAGCCTGTCTGTGCCCAGGAGATGAACGCTGCTTGCATTCTGGAGTGCTGCCCCACCACCGTGAATGGCAGCTGCCTGAAGCTGGATGGCAAAGTTCATGTGAACGGTGCTGGGCAGGTGGCTGTGTCCCCACTGCTG